TAGATAACCAAGTCTCATTAAAGTGAAATATATAGACACAAAATGGAACGTTGGTGGGGGCAAAAAAAAAAAAGTCTAATCAAACTTTTCTCTTCTTCTGAGCAGCTGTCAACGGAATCGTTCACGATATTGATGTGTTGAGGAAAGGAGTTCGATTGATTACGCTGATGGTTAGCGCCGACGGCTTCTACAAGATGAGTCGTCTCTATGTTACTCCAGACAGCTTCTTCTTTAAGGTTCGCCTCCTGGTATTGGACACCTACAAGTGCAGTAAGCCCTGCCCTGATCTCAAGCTTGGTGAGTGAGAAATCACATCTAAGACTAAGATGTCTTCTGTCTCATGAATTCATTCTACCGTTATTCTTAATCAGTTTTTGGGATTATAATCAGATCACTCTGGTGGTTATCAGCCTCAAAGATATTTTGGAGAGTAAATTAGTTGGAATTTTAATTATGTTACAATTAGTGTCGCACCAATGCCATTTTTTTGCCTGGCTGTGCAGTATTGGTTGATACCATCTGTTTATACTGTGGTGTGTGTGTATGTATATATGAAGAACTGCATACTACTTGGATGTAAAATCATTGCCATCATGGCTTTGTCAAGCTGCTGCCTACCTTTTTTTTCCCAAGTCAGTGGACTTGACCAAAGCGCTTTACACTACATTCAGTCATTCACCCATTCGCACATTGATGGTGGCAAACTACATTGTAGCTGCAGGTGCACTGGGGCTCACTGACAGAAGTGAGGCGGCCGTACACTGGCGCCACCAGACCCTCTAACCATCATTAGCGGGCAATGCAGGTGAAGTGTCTTGCCCAAGGACACAACACTGGTGGTGCCGGGTCATGAACCGACAACCCTCTAGTTGCAGGACAAACTCGATCCGACACCACTGTCGCCCCGATTACAATTACAACACCGCACAATTTATACCCTCTCAACTTTGACATATCCTTACAAATAAATATCTGGGGAGTGTATCTAGAGTTTGTGTTTACCCAACTTTTCCAATAATGTGCTGTTATGTAATTATGATACATTCAATGCCCACCTCAGTAAGGCAAGGCAAGGCAAATTTATTTGTATAGCACAATTCAGTACAAAGACAATGCAAAGTGCTTTACATGATTAAAATACAGGAAGATAAAACAGAATCAAAGCAAGTAGAAATAAATAAATAAAATTAAAAATGCAGAAACAAAAAAGAATATTAAAAACAGTTGGACTAAA